AGGCTCCAAGGTTTGCTGTCTCCTGCCTCATCACCCCGAGCTAAAGTCATAGGAGAGAACTTCTGTGAATGCTGCAATAGAGAAATAGTTAAGGAATTAATATAACTTCCTATATATTTGCTCTAACTTCAGATTCCTAAATGTCATCTTGGAATTGGTCTCCATGTAGTATTCCATAACACTTAGGCAGTCTCACTTACTTGAGCACTTTTTTTTTCTAAGTTGCATTATGGGATTCATCCAGGAGGGAGAAACTGTACCTTTTTCAAAGGTACTGCACCTTCCAGTCCTGAGCGATTCTGATCCTACTGGGAGGCTGGAGTTGTCTCCAGGAGTTCTTCTGAAAAGTAACCAAAAGCACAGTGCAGGGGGACGGGGGAATATGTGTATATATAACTATCTCAGTGGTATTTTGTTGCAAATAGTAGAAAGCATGGATATAAAACTGCAGTGGGGGAAACTGTACATCATTAAATAGGCGTTTACACAGTGAGGGTCTTATGAAACATTCTCTCCTGCTTTTTATATAACATTCCCTATTTAGAATTCCTTTATAAATGAAAACACAGTATGTGTTTGCACTAAAGCTCCTCAGCAAATTAAAAGAGCTAGTGCAGTAGAGACATTTCAGATCAAGCTTCTCTTTAAAAAAAGAAAACTTTTATGGCAGCTTTATATGATTAAAAAAAAAAAAAGTACTACTATAAACCTGGAACTGAAAATAACTGTTGCAGCAATAACAAAGAGAAGTCCAAGAATTTTTTTTTTTAATTCAAATTTCAAGTGTTGCATCTAGATAAAGTATTTTTTAAAACCAAGGTATTCCCTATGTCAGTAACAGCTGATGAAAATGTCTTTTAAATGTAGCAGCAGCAAAAGAAAAATGGCTAATAATTGGCACCAAAAACACATAGCCCTAGTCAGTGTGGTGGTGGTTAACTAAGCACCAGGAAGGAAAAGAGACAACCTACTGCTAGATGTTGCTTATGCTTGTTGTAACCCTCTCCTGTTTGGAGTTTCTGGGAGACATGCAGGAATGCTCAAGAAAGCTTCATTTTGAGTGTACTATGCAAGTTAAATGCTTAGATGCAGCTGTAGGTGAAAAAGGTCCTTTATTTTCGTTGAAGTTCTTCCTTCGCTCCATCCACTGATAAAGCTGACAAACAACAGGAGCAGACCACCAGCCACCAGTACCACGGTGTCGGGTGGTGTCAGGAGAGCTGATGGCACAGGGCTGTGCTCCAGGCACTCAGCAGGGCTGCTCTGTGCAGTGTCCTGCCTTCCCTGCTCCTCGGCTGGCGAGGCAGGAGCACGGACCTGCAGTCACTGCCCAGTGCTTCAGCACGCTGCTCGTTTGGGTTGTGATCAAATGGGTGAGCACATCAGTCTGACACCACCACCTCACTCTAGGGTCACACTCATACCAGGGGTGGTAACTCCGTGTGTGTGACACCTCCCATCTTAGGAACGGGAGCAGTAGCACTGCTGGAGCTGGAGGCACGGATGGAGCTGTGGCTGTGCTGCTCCCTGGGCTGTGTTTGGGCCGTGTTCTCAGACACAGCCCCAGCCTGCTCCAGCTCCAGTCAGTCCAGGCAGGTCCCTCAGCCCTGGAGCCAGCCTTTGGGAAGGCTGTAAAAGACATGGCCATTTCAGCTCACTCACACTGTTCTCATGAAGAAGTGTCACTTTCTAGTCCTGTGTTGTGTCAGCTCTGGGCTTCCTGCAGAGCCCCTCACACGAGGAGGTGAAATGCCACAGGGCAGGAGCACCTGCAGCAGGGTCGGGCAGTTTGTGCAGGGCTGGCCCAGGGCTGCTTCCCATCTGCTGGGGGGACTCTGGGCAGTCTGGAGCCTCTGCCCGGGGGGCTGAGGGCAGGAAGGGTATCCTGTAGGCACCAGAGAGGGAAAACGGTGGGGACAAGAATCCTTTTCTTGTGCAGGTTGCATGTAACACTGAAACATCTGAATTTCACACGTAGTAAGGGTCCATTTGTGACTTCTACATCTGGACAATTTATGGGCCCTGAAGTTTCAACATCAAGAAAATGAACATGACTTTTCTAAACTGATTATGACTTTTGGGCACTTAGCAGGCAAACTGGGAAAGCTTTTTTTAGCTGGCTGCTGTACAGACTTGTTTTAAGTAGAAGGGATTTGTTAGTGGGTTTTTTTAATTGTAATGCTATTATTGGCTGCCCTCCTGTCTTAAGATCTAAAAAAGTGAGTGCATGCAATGGAAGTACAAGAGGCCCCAGTAATAGTTCTCCATGTTTGTTATGAAATAGACACAGGTTTCCTTCTTATGACTTTTTTAAAAACTGTCTTAGGAACAGTTGTATTGGTACTTTTTCTTTAAGTTTAGGTCAATGTTGTCTTCCAGAATAAGTTTTAAGGCATCACTCACTCCTGCATAGAACTATCGCATCAACACAAAGAGTGGAGATTCCATTCTGAGCCAGTTCAATTGTGAAAATTCATACTTTTTTTATTTTTTATGCAATTCAATGAGTAGATGAGCTCAAGTTTAAATTCTTAAAAGCACGTTTATTGTAACAAGAATTGTTATGTATTAATACTTCAGTTTTCAATAAAGATTGACTTGTGTTGCTTATTGTGGCTTCTTTCCTACTGTCTTTGGTGAAATCCTTCTAGAAAACGTTCTGTGCTGGAGAAGAGTATGATGCATTTAAACTCTTCAAGCGGATGGAATCTGGTGACTGATGGAAGCCAAGTGTTGAAATGGGATGAGTGACTGTGCTCAGTAAGGTTTCCTGATGCCTGACAGAGCACCGTGGCAAAGGCTCCCCAGTGGGGGATTAAGCTGCCCGAAGTTGTCCTGTCTGAGAGTATGGTAAAGGTGTTCAACCCTGCCTTGTTCCCTTTTGAGACATTTCTGGGGGTTGAGAGGTTTTATTTTATAGCTTAAAACAAAGGAAATGGAACAGATGTAAAATCTGACATTACTTGAGCATTTGCTTCATACCAAAGCCGTGCTGTTTGATTGGAGAGGTGACAGCCCTGAGCAGAAAACTGCTAGAAATCAGTGTCTTGAGTGTTTCCCAGAAGGAAAAGAGTGGAGTAGGTGTGAAGTGTGGGTAATTATCCTATTTCTTTAGTGTGTGGGTGGTTGTAAAGCTTTGGGGGAACAACTAAGCTGCTTGAACTAACTGGCTATTTTCATTTATTGTAGGTCTCCAAAAATAACAATAACTTACCTGGTAACCTTCTGGAAAAAAGCAACACGTGGAAGAGGAAGATGCAACGTGACTGTATCAATCTGCAGGAATAGTGTTTCATTGTCAGGATTATTGCTGCAGGTAGTTTTGGGTAGTTCAGCTTCTAAACTTGTAGCTGAGCATAAGGGATGCCACGGAGAGATTTTTTTTTTTTTCAGTGTGTTTTCCTCAAACTAATTTTTGGTCAGTTATCCTGGGATTGCTTTCATGTTGCAGGTAGATAGGTTTGGGAATGTTTTTTGCAGAGCACTGCAGCTGATGAAAATTCATAATCAACCAGTGGGTTGCTGAAATCTGGGATGCTATAAAGGGAAAAGCTGTTCTTCAGAATGGTGCTGATCTCTCTCAGGCTGGAAGGATTCTGATGTAGCTGTTCTCCTGGGAGTCTGCTGCTGTGAAACCTGGCCTTGTACTGTATTCAACACCTGTAAGGACATGCTACTGAACTCTTTAAGTCTCTAGATAGAGTTTCTCTCTTGGTGTTCTAAATGTATCCATGGAACTGCCAAAATGGTGGGTCAGTAATGGTTTGGCTTTTCCCTCTTGCCAGATTGATTTTGCAGTGGCAGTGTAATTAATGTGTGTTACCTTCCCCTCACTGACAAGTGGCTCCACTTGCTGTGGAGGCAAGAACTCCCTCCTTTAGGGGCAGCTCTGAACACCTGAGAACAGCCAGAGCCCCTTCCAGTAGAGTATCTGCTCAGTTAGTGATTGGTAGAAATCAGGCAAGAAATTTTGACTTTAAAGGTTTCCTGTAACTAATTATAGGCAGAACCAAAACTTGCTGTTTCTAACATCTTGCTTTAGAGTCTAAGCTCCATGGCTTGTTGTAAACAAAGTCAGGTAACATAAAGTTTCATTGGTGAGCTCCCTTGGAATCAGGAATGGTATTATTATTTAGATGGGAATTTTTTTTGTGTAGGAAATGTCAGTGTTGCTGAATTGCATGGACAAAATGTCCGAGTCGTGTGTAGGAGGCTAAGTGCACTCCAGGATTTTATTTTAGTATCCATCAGGCTATTAGCTACCCTGTCTTAATCATCCAGAATAGAATGGAGGCCGTGTGATGACTTCAGTTTTTTAATGCTTATTTTAAACAGCAGCCAGAAGTCTTTGGCAGCTGTGGGAAGTTGGGTTGTGTCACAGGGAGAATTGCAGTTGCAGAGGGGAGTGGGTACAGGGAACCCCAGTTGTAGTCCTTGGTGGGCTAAGAGATCCTTCCAATAAAAATGTGACAAAGAACTTGAAAATGAGCAGCTCAGCTGTCATCTTAAGTTACCATAGCTGGACCTTCATTTTTAATCTGTAGTTATCTACTTTGTGGTGTTTTAGAATAGCTTTTTCTTTTCTGGGCAGGAAAGGTAAAATATGTGGGCAAATGAATGCTTTGGAAAGGGGAAGGGGAACACACCTTCCCCAAGTTTTGCTTTTGCCAGCCTTGTAAGAATTGTAATCATGGGAAGTTCCCAGCTGAGCTCAAACGCAGTTCCCTCTGCTTCGGTGAACACGTGGCTGTATCTGGGGATAAGGTTTTTGTTGGTGGTGTGATTTAGATAGCAAGTATATTATTTCAGGTAACTGGAGGTTAAAGAAAAAGGCCATAAATTATTACCAAACCTGGGTAATGAGTGGATGCTACTTAGGAAAAAAGGGAAAGAAGTAGGTGTGGAAGGATAGAAGGAGCTTGTAAGCAGAATGCTGTTACAAAGCTGCTCTACAGTCAGTAGTTAATGCTTTTTGGGAGGATCACAGAATGATACAAGACTGAAAGTCAATAGCTTGTTTATTTCCCATCTCACAACTGTAAATGTAGGCAGTCACACACAAAGGTACACAGCTCTGGGGTAAGTACCACAGGTATTTCATTTGCACAGGCAGTGAAACAGGGAGCTGCTTTGGTAGCAAACTTGTGCAAAAGAGAAGCTCAGGACGTGCAGAGAGGACGGGTGTAGTTGTGGGGGGAAAGAAGACAGGAGTGTTGAGCAAAAAGAAGCAGCCTGCATTTTTCCTAGAAGTGCCAACATTGCCAAAGCCATGGGATTTTAGTCACGTAGCTCATTAAGAACATGTGTGAGACACAGGAGAAATAAGGTGTGAGGTGTTGATGGCAAGGCAGGGCGAGCTGGGGTTGCTGTGTGGCTGGGAAGGAGCAGCCTTTGGCTCCTGCAGAGCCTGCAGCTGTGTGCCTGGGAGTGAAAAGGAGGGAACTCCACTGCTGCCTGGAGCTGTGGTCCCCTGGAGGCATTTCTGTCCGGTGCCAGGTCACACTGCTGGCTGCACCTTGTCCACTCTGACATCAGCTGCACTGATGGGTCACTGCAGCCTGGATTCATTCCCTCCCCATACTGTCCAACTGAAAGAGCACCACTGTGTCTTCAGGGGTTTAAAATCAGCTGAAGATGCTGCCTTTTTTTTTCAGTTAATTTTTATGCACTATCAGAATTTTTAATCTTTAACTCATTACTTACCTGAAGACCTGACCCTACAGCTTTGCTTAGGCTGGGAGCTCTGGCACAGGGAGTTTCTGCTGGTAGGCTGGTACAGGACATTCTATTGATATTTTGGGTTGTACCAGTGTGGTGCTGCTGATGTCAGTTCCCCCTTTGGTAGAGAATGAGAGCAGCAGCAGGCACAGGCTGAGGCTCCAGCACTTGAATAAGGTGTTTGTAGTTCCCTCCTTAAAGCTTGAGTTGCCTTTGTACCATATTCACTGTCCAGATGGGCTTTGCAATGGCCATAACCTCATGAGCAGGTACGTGGTGGAACTTGACAGGAGGATTAGAACAACTGAAGTAATAACAATAAAGAAGAAATCAGCACTTGCTGAGTGCTGTGGCACCTGCCAGGCACTGACAGCTCCAGAGGCTGGGAGGGGAGCGGTGCAGTACTTGTTCAAAAGACTGATGGTTGCACACAGACTTCTTGAATGATGCTGTTACTTGAACATGTGCTTCCACTACAGTAAATCTGGAGGAGCACAGCCTGATATTTTGACATATCAGAGGAAAGGCCTTTTTATTAAAAAGAAGCTCATTTCTGTCATTCCAGCATCCCAAGAAATGAAGTGTTCTCAGTGTGAAGCTGAGATTCTTTTGTTACTCACAGGTGCCTCAGTTCTGAGTTCTCCCTGTTGGTGGCAGGTTTTCAGGTGCTTTTGGGAAGCTGTTGGGACACGCAGGTGCAGTTGTTGGCACATGGTTGGCTCTGGGATGACAGAGCTGTGCTGGCTCTGCAGAGCAGTGTCCTGCACAGTGGGAATCTCCTGCAGGGGACTTGGTGAGCCGAGGCCTCTGCTGGACACAGGTGGGGTTCCTCCCCAGCTGACACCCCACTGTCCTTCAGGGAATGGACAAAACAGCAGAGATGTTAAAGGCTGCTCTGGGGGAACTCTTCTCTCCATGGGAACTGACCTAGTTCTTACTTTGAGTTAGCACAAAGACAGTTCGTGCTGGTTTTGATGCTATTAGAACTTGAACAGTGTATACACTCACAGTGTCTGAATCAGATATTCTAAACTAATAGTTTAGAGATTTTTTTTTCCCTTTTTTTTTTTGTCAGAGCAGAGACTATGTTATTTAGTAGCCACTGGTTCTCTTCACTTTACTGGTAGTTTCAGGAAATCATTCTTTCATTTGATTCACATCCTTTACAGAATTCTGTGTTTTATTTGACCAAATGAAATCTGGGCAGATAAAGGTCATTAAGAATCATGGCTGTTTTTACAAGAAGCTTCCTAAATGGATGTCTACAGAAGGAGAGGAACAGATAGAACCAACACCCCTAAAGAAACCCCAAACCACCCCTGACTCAATCTCTTTGTCCTCTTTATGTAACTCAATGCAGAACTGTTTTTCTGAGCAGTTCAGCTGGTTCTACCCTAAAATCCAGAAGGACTGGTGTTGTTGAGACTCACATCAGGAGCTTCAGTTTGTTTTGTATGCAAATCTGCATTTCTGGCCCCTGTTGAAGGTTCAGCTCCAGAGAAAAGGTTGCTGATATCTCACAGCTCTGATTCTTCGTTTCAAATGGACACTTCTGGTGGAACTGGCGTGAAGGTCTTGTCCATGTAGCCCAGAGAGTTTGTCAGAGGCTGTTCTTGACCAGCCAGAAACTCTGTTCTCACAAGCTGAGCTGATGCCCTTGGGATCTGCTCACTGTGCACACCCCCAGTCTGGCCTGCACGTGTTCACCTCCGTTCTGTCCATTGGCAGAATGATGGGAGCCACCCCAGCCCAAATGCAGCTGCCAGGGGAGCAACAGGGAAATCTGGGCTTGGTTAATCTGTTACCATCTCACACACAGGTACTTCACTATTTAATCAGTAACTTGGGGGATGAGATGACTTTGAGTGTCTAATCACTTAAAACCGAAGGAGGTTACACCAGATTTGTGACAGTTTATATAGACAGTTTTGGTGTTCAGGAAACACTGAGGGTTATGGTGAGAGCTGGGAGGTGGTGCTGGCTCTTAAACAAAGGATGTATTTTGTGATGAAATCCTCTTCAGAGCAGTCTGTGGGTCGGGCGTGTTGAGCACAATGGGATTATGGGTTTGACCTTACCTGTTTGCTGTGTTGCTGCTGTAACTCCACCACTTTCTGTGATCAGTTTTTTTACCTGATCTCAGTCTTGCATAGGGAATTGGATCCTAGCTCCAAATGTGGTGTACAAGACTAGAATCCCAACTGAGGACACTTTTTAGAAAGAGTACTGATAGTCAAGTGGAGAGTAGAATTCTTCCAGAAGTAATGAACTGTCCATTGACTGGGATGCTGTCTGGCCAGAGGAGTCTGGTTTGGCACTTCAGAAATTTCTGTAAAAAAAAGTGTCTCTGTAAATCCTTTGTACACACTGGTCAGAGATGCAGCCAGTTCTGGAAGAGCTGATAAATGATGTGATTATTTTAACCACTGGATGCATATTTACTGTTGAGAGTATTGCTACACAGGTAATTAATAATAGCCAATTCTTGTGTTTGTTTCAGGGGGAGGAAGGACAGGGTTGTTGCACTTCACAGCCACTGCACTCCAGGGTCCTGTGCCATGGTCACCCCATTTCCCTTGGGAGATGAGGTGAGGATTTCTACCAGAGTGACTTCATTATAGATGTAAAGCTGAGTATATTGAGCAACATTCTGCCTAAAACCAGATCAGACATTGCAGCAAGGGAGCTTTGAATAGATGTCAGCACTTCCATCACACTGGGGAAAGAGTGGTTTTAAGCAGAGATATAAAGAGGTTTTAGGAGAATCTCCATCCTTGAGTGAACCCACATAGCAACTGGACAAGACTATGAGCACCCTGATGCATTGTCACAGCTGGCCATGCTCAGTGTGGGGGTGTGGGGTGTGATCCTGTACCCGTGCTGGGGAGGGGATGGTCCTCTGCCCCTCTACCCCCTTCCACTTACTACAAAAGCTGATGCTAAGCTCAGAAAATAGATCATTTTAGTGCCAACAGGTTTTCTTCCTGGCCAATCAAAACAAACACGCCATGGATAAGGAAAGGAGGGTGCAGACACTTAGGGTAAACACAGAAATGACAATTGCCTTGTGTTGCTGAGTGGTGCTGGCTGCAGCTGTCTGACATCCCTGTGTGTGTGTGTCAGGGTCTCTTGGTCACCATTTCCCCCCATGGGTGTCTGTACACCCCTGGCAGTGCCTCAGTGTTCCTGCTGGGCCACCTTTGTCTGGCTGTGTCTTTCAGTGTCCCCATGTCTGTGTCTCTTGGTGTCTGTGTGTGTTGTGCTAATACTGCTGTAGCTGCCTGATCTCAGGGGCTTCTTGGAGAATGTTTTCTTGTTTATTTTTTTTTCCTTTTGCCCTCCACTCCCACCCAGCATTCGACCCAGTGTCCTCCCCAGAGCAGAGTGACCCCTCTGGTCAGGTCCCTGGGATGGCTTCTCTGAGGTCACCTTCTGGCATGGCCCCTGTGGCTGAGCAGCCCTGGTGGAGCTGCAAGAGCACAATCCCCACAGTGACTTTGGAAAGAAAGCTTCACACAGAGAGACAGGCTGGAGACAAACACAGGCTGAGAGTCACTTTTACAAGTTTCTTTATGAAATTAAATGTTGCCCCTGGTCTGGGGGGAAGATATAGTGCAAGAAGGACTTTGTACATGCTACTGAATTCAGATATCCCTGGATGACCAGACTTTGGTCAGCTACAGCATCAACAAACACTGGATTTTTGAGCTCTGCAGACAGTTAGTGCTCACTCACACGTGAACTGGAATGAGCCTGTGTCTTCCTTCCACTGTCCCAGGATGTCTCCTAATCTAGGGAATTCAGTCAGTATGGCTTCTAACTCTTGCTATGGTAAGGCAAATCTTTCTTTTTGCTAACCAAGGTTTAAATTCATTCTTTTTGGCCACCATTTGAAACTTGGGTACATAAAGTGAGGCTCTTTATGCCAAATGTAGGCCTTTATCAAGTGGTTTTCCATTTTCAAAAGTGTCAGTAACACTCCTTGAATTTGAGGGTCTGTGGGAGTTTGCATAACAATGACGTTGCAGAGTTGAACAGCAGACTCTGACTTCTGGGAGCTAGGTTTGCAAATATTGACCTTTCTTAAAAAAAAAAAAAAGAAAAGAAAGATTAAACAGACAAAACAAGCATCAAGTTAACAACATCTGACAAGAACAATTACAGACTTACAAAATACACAGTTCTGATTTTTACCATAAATAAACACATTACAAACAATGAGCATTTTCATTGGCCAGGAAATATGGCAGAATGATGGAGAGATGAGAATCTAAAGAATTGAGTATGGTATTAATTAGGCACATTTTTTTTCTAACTTATGTAACTTAAACCCACTAGAGAGATTCTTTGACTTGACTGATGCTGCAGGTTGGCACAGTTTAATGTAGGACACCTGTCACGGGTGCTGTTGGAATAAAGGGAGGGAGGAGGTCACAGTGCAGTGCTCACTGTGCTCTGAGTGCCTGCAGAGGCTGCTGAGTTGGTTGGACACGTGGAGGAGGATCACAGCTCTGAGAAACGCAGGGCATGGGGTGGGCAGAGCAGAAGGGTTCATCCCTCCTCGTCACGGACTCTGAACTGCTGTTCCGAGCATGGCGGTGGCCACGGGGCCAGCGGGTCCATCCCTGCCATCCCCTGGGGCAGCTGCCAGGGAAGCAGCGAGTCCAAGCACACTGGCAGGGGAAATCTCTGTGCTGCAGCCTGCCCAGCTCCCTGCTGCGTGCTCCTGGAGCTCTGCCTGCTGGGCAGCGCGGGCCTGGCGCCGTGGCACCGCTGCCCACGCTGTGCCTCACCTGGGAGCCAGCGGGGCAGCCAAATAAACAGGGGAGGCAGGAGCACAGGTGCCATCCTCTGTGAGCACAGGGCTGGAGGAACCCGGCTCCGCCTGCCACGACTGAGGGCTAAAGTGCTGTCTCAGAAGGGGTTCAGGCACAAACGGGCTGCCCCTATTTCCGGAAGGGCGTCAGCCGGCTGATGTTCTGCCAGAAGTTGGAGGGCTTGCGCTTGGGCTCTGCCAGCATGAAGACCTGCTGCTGAGGGAGCGTGCTGGGCAGCGTGGGGTGCTTCTGCCGCATCAGGAAGTCGTAGTAGGGCCTGGTGACAGCTGGGACAGGAGGAGGAGATGGGAAGCACGTTAGTTGAACACAGCTCCTTTCCCCCCACTCTGCCACTTCCCCCAGTCCCCGTTAAAGCTGCAGGGCTGTGAATTGGGTTTGTCTAACTGTTACCCTTCCTTTCATTTATCCTTACTTTCAGCAGTGCCTTTTAGGATTAGAGCTCATGTGCAAGGCCCAGAAACGTGCTGCACAACTGTCAGGTGTTCTGCCAGCACAACAGCAGGGCTGGAGAGCTGCAGCTCATGCCTGCTGACAAACTTAGCTGGTGCTTTTGGCTGTGCTGGGAGAAGCAGCTGCTGTGCAAGTGCTGCTGGTGCCTGTTACAACCTCCTGGGCTGGATTTCTGACTAGGAATGGTCAGTGCCTGCGTGGAGGACGAGGCTGGTCTGTGCAGTCTCCTCTAGTGCTGTGTCCCAAGGGCTTTGCTTTGTTTGCATGGTCTGGCCTCCTTCCAAACTTACCCCTGTTTACAGCCAAATCTCATTTCTGGCCCTTTTTGACATTTAGCCAAGCTTTCTTTCAGGAGATGTGGCTGGGCCTTAAGTGCTGGCTGGTACCACCAAGAGGAAGTGGTTGCCTCTGTGGGTTCAGAGGAACCAAGCAACATCTCTTCCTCAGAACAGAGAGAAGGGGAAGGTGGCATCAACAGGGCTGTCTTCAGCCAACAGTGCTGTGGGCACAGGAACCTTTATTTTGCCTGACTTCACTCTCCCTGGCTGCTGCTAATGGTCCTGGTCTCTGGCATGTTGAATGAAGAGCTCTGCTCAAGCATGGTACCTACCCCTGGCACCCTGCCCAAGGTTCAGCTTTCAGAACATCTTCCACGGGCACAACTGCCCAGCAGGAACAGTCCCTGCTGCAGAGACCTCTGTGGCCCTCTGTGCACCATGGGGACACTCCAAACCTTGCCTTTAGCCAAAGGGAATGCCATACTGCTGGGAAAGCCTGGCTCCTAGGGAGAGGCTGTGCACTGCCCGTGGAGCAAAAGCTGCTGGGTTTTGGCAGAGTGCTGAGTATGTACAAAGTGGCTCTCCTGGAGATAGGAATAGTCTCCTGACTCCAACCATCTGAATCTACCAGGAATTGCAGTGCAAATTGTCACCATCTGGCGTTCTCAAGAGTTTGTTACTGCCACTTCATTGAAACCTCTCCCATGTAGTAAATACAGAGCCACCCCCCATTGTCACAGTGCTCCTGTGTTCAGGTGTGACTCACCCTTGGGCTTCCCAGCGTGGTGCTGCTTGCTGGCATTCAGCATTGCCTGCTTTTTCTGCACCTCCGTGATGGAAAAACCTGGGAGATAAAGCAGATTTCTGTCAGCAGCAGGTCATCATTTGGTACCTCAGGAGAAGACAGGGGTAGGCAAATGCCTGAGGTGAGAGGCCACAGTTACTGCCAAGGCTGGGGGCACAGCCTGCTCCCCCAGCCTGGGCTGGGCTGCACAAACCCCCATGCAGGGTTTGCTGCCTGCCCCTCAGCCCACGCTGCACGGGGGGTGGGGGAAGCCAGTCCAGGCCAGTGCTGGCTGAAATCGTTCAGAACACACTAGGCTGAATTAAGAAGGATTTGGACAAAACAACACAAACCCTCTTGTACAGTGACAGCCCTTGAACAGGTTCCTGTTCTATACTGTTCTGGACCCTGTATGTAACGTATTGACTATTTTATCAGCCCTGCTTGTGTGGGAATCCAGGGCTTCCCTCTGGCTGCCCTGGCAGGTCTGGGACCCTGGCAGGGGTCAGGAACCTCCCTGGACAGAGCCCCCAGAGACACTGTCTGTGATCTCTGTCCATGGAAAAGAGTTTTCAATCTTACAGGATGAATTACAAGCTTTGAGTGTTTGATAAGAGTAATAATTAAGTGTGACATGAGTGCAAAGGTAAAATTTTAGATTTCTAGATTAGGGGTTCAGAGGGGACAAGATGGAGGAATTGAGTGTGTCTTGTCCTTTTTCTCCTTCTTCATGCCCTCCATGTTTCACTGTGGTGTTGGCATTTTTCTGTTGGTTTAGGCTGGGGACACACTGTCCAACGTAGGTGACAGATATTGGCACATTATTGTAAATCCAGCACAGGTAGTTTGTGGTATTTAATGTTTGTAACATCCCACTGAGGGCAGAGCCCCACACGCTGCCCTGCAGGACAGAGCTGCGGCAGGGCAGCAGAACATGTTAGAGATAAACAGAATAAACAGCCTTGAAACCAGCACAGACCAATTATGGCTTCTGCTTTGGCAATGGGGCAGAAAGACAGAGACTTTCTACAATCTCAGAATCATCAATACCCACAGATTCCAACATGCTTGAATCCTTAAGACAAATCAGCCTCCCTGAGGACAAACTGCAGTGATGGCTTATGGTGGTTTGCCGTTTTTAACTGCACAGATTCATTCAGAATGTGTAATTCAGCAGTCCAGAGCTGCCATGGAGCATGGGCTGGCTCCCCCACCCTTTCACTCCTCAGGCATTAGCCAATGGGTAAAAAAAGATGAAATAATAACGATTAAAAGAAAACCAGTCTCCCAGCACTGCTCTTTCCATACCTGTCTCCTGGTCGAGCTGCACCTGCCTCCTTTCATTCTCAAACGCCTTCAGCCAGCGCTGTTTCTGCTCAGGCTTTTTTGCACAAAATAAATGGACTTCCTCAGTGTCCCTGCAGTGCAGCTTAAATGCATTTTTCACACTGATATTGAAGTCCTTGTCCTTGCCATCTTCTACATCCAGTATTTCCATGTCATCCATGTTGATCCGACTCTTGTAGTACAGGATGTCCCTGCGCAGGAGGTCCTGGAAGAGAGATCACAACACATGTTGCTGTTTCTTGGATGTGATGGAGAATTTAACCTTCCTGGTATCATTACAGTCCTGTAAAAGAAATGGATACTGGATTTGAGTCTGTGGAACTGCAGAATGCTGAGCTGCTGTGGGCACCGTAGGGAACCACATGGCTTGTTCTGGCAGTGGGCTCAGGACAGGCTGCTGTCCGTGTTGGGGCCCATCTGCTGCCCTGAAGCTTGGGTGTTACACATGATCCCAAATCCTCATTAAGCCTCTGACAGAAAGCACTATTTGAATCCTTCAGTTCCAGTTAAAAAGCAAAAATAATACTAATTATCGCTTGGGTTTTTGTTGACAATGAAAAGTAACTTTGAGATCAGTGATTTTCACACCTAAGTTACACAGAGCCACCTACATGCCATGGAATATGCAGAAAATAATTGGCACATTCAGTTCTGAAATTCCAGAGGAAGGTACCGTTCACTGGCTCCAAGATGGAAGATTTCTTTTATTACTCAGCTTATGAAAACAGCATGAGCTGTACTTTCAGGCTTACATGTGCTGTTAGCATGGCCTTACTGACTGCCAAGGCCCACAGCTGTTCATCAAACCTGCAGTTTTTTTCTGAATACAACACTAAGCTGGAAGTTCAGATGAAAAACAAGGTAGTTAAAAGAACTTGTGTGACAATACTCAGAGCTGAATTGTATAGAATAACCCCACACTAAGCCCAGAAGCAGTGCAGTGCTTTCCTTGTTTGCTGTGAGAATTAGGCCAGTAGCTGATTGCTGTGCTCAGGTGCACAGAACACCCCAGGACCTCAGAGAAGGCTCAGTGCCAGGAGCACATGAGGCCAGGAGAGGGTGGAGAGGGAGCTCACTTAAATCCATCAGCACAGCAGCAGCCAGCTTTCATGGGTTACCTTCTTGCAGCAGACAAGCTGGTGATCGAAGAGGAAGAACATCCTCTGTTGGCTCTTGGCTTGAGGGTGGGAGATTTTGGCCAATTCCCCAGAATAGATGAGTTCTGAGCTTCGGACTAGGACATCTTCTCCCTGAGAACAGTGCAAAGAACAGGTTGGTCTCAGCCTCATGTGAAAGTGGGAGCCTGAATTCCTGCTGACAGAACTCGTGTGGGAATGAGAGAGAGGCTCTGCTGGAGTACAGTCCTCGGCACATCGGGGAGTGGGAACTAAATCTGATTAGAACAATAGCTTGTTACATTTTTAAAAATCTTCTTTTCCAGGGAGTCTGCTCAGGAAAGCTGCTCCATCCCAGACATAAAGGAGGCACAGAAGGAGGGAACTAAGAATTTAGCCTGACATCCTTGGGTGGGGAGATAGTGTGGGTTTATTGAGTCTAGGATTTAGAAAATTAGTATTTTTTTTCTTTTATTTAGTGATTTTTTAAATGAGTCTACAGGGAACCTTTGGTTCCTCTGTAACTATGCCAGAACTTGCCTTTCTGCAACAGTAATCTGGCTTGTTAAGAATTAAGGAGCAATTCTGGTCATTTGAGAGTTTGAAGTCACTCAAGATAAAATGGGGGGCAAGAGAAAAATAATAGATTTTCACTAACCTACATGCTGATTTCATTCTACAAAGAAAAACAGGGAAACAAAGATCCCAGGGAACATGCAAAGGCAGCTGGTCTAGCTGAGTAATATGCCAGACCTAAAAGATCGTAACTGTTTAAATAAAAATCAGACTCTCCACAAAGATGACAGAGAGCTGAGGTGGGGCTGGACAGTGAGATATTGCTGTAGAGAGAAGCTGTTGGAAGAGCAGAAGAGGAACAAGGTAGAATTCCTTGGGCAGGAAGTCCCCTACCTCCCAGTCCTCGATGGAGCTCTGCCACTGAGCGATTTTGTCGATGTTCTCCAGGCGCCGCTTCCTCTCGTTGATGAGCCGAGCCACGTTCTTCATGGCGTTCAAGGCAGCCTCCACATCCTTGAAATCCCTGGGGAGGGACAGAGGCTTTAGGCTTGGCAGAATGGCATGTGGGTGTTGTACCTCACTCCAGAGGAGAGCAGCCTGGCTCAGAGCTGGGGATGGAACCAGGAGTTCTGCCTGCTGTCTCTCCCAGCTGTTCCGTGCTGGAATCAGAGACCTGCTCCTGTGGCAGCTTCTCACACTCTCCCTGGTTTTGAGGCACAGATTAGATGTTGATTATAACAACAGTGTGTTAAATTTTTAAAAATCTCCTTTTCCAGGGAGTCTGCTGAGGAAAGCTGCTCCATCCCAGACATCCCATCCCTTTATGTGTAAAGGAGGCAGAGAAGCAGGGAGCTAAGAATTTAGCCTGACATCCTCGGGCAGGGAGACAGTGTGGGTTTATTGAGGCTGGTAACAAATTAAGTCACTTCTGGGGAAGGGGGAAAGTAATCAAATTTAGCTACAGAGGTGTAAATAGAAATTGCTGGAAGAACCTCCAGGTTCTCATTTTCTTTCTGCAACATAATACAGAAGTATATATAAACAACATATTCACAATGAGCTGTGTGTCCATGCAGAGACTGGTCTGTGGTGCAGAAGTGAAGCAGTTCAGCAGTAAGTGGCTCGTTTCAAACATGAGCTGATGGTTTATCTGGCAGGGTAGGACAGAGGCTGATCTGCCCTCCCCCACACACCATCTGTGGCCACCAGCTACTTCTGCTGAGTTCAGAGCGGCTGGGAAGGAGCTGAGCTGCACAACGTGGCTCTAAGGCAACACTTAAAACATCTGTGCAATTTCTTAAGGAACAAGACATGCTTAAAACCACTCTGGGAAGTATCAGGGCTGCAATTAGGAAGGTGAAATTAAGTCAAACCACAGTGGACCAATATCAACACTTTCATACAGATTTTTCATGTTTTCAGGTACTTAATTAAGTGACAGTTATTCGAGCCAGAGGCAGTGCCTTCACCCTGAAAGTGAGCAATGGATTTGGAGGTTTTGGAACTGGCACTGACAGGGCACCAAGTCTGTGTGGCTTGGCTGCTGCAGGGCACAACTTCCCACTGGTGAAGTGTGGCTGTACCAACATGTTGGGATATATTCAACCAATGCTTTTGGAGGCAAAGTTCTCAACACCAGCACAGAAACATGTAGCTCCAAAGTATGCATGTGCTGATATCACACATATATGAGCCAAATAAAACTCAAAAGGGCCATTATAAAGTGGACCTTGTAACTATCAATCTGTGACAGGAAAGCTCAGTGCTAACGTAGTGGAAAATTATGTAAATATACTTTTATTATATACTTATAATAAATTATAAGTTATTGTTAAGTTATATACTTATATAAGTTTATACGTTATTGTTGTTATAAGTTATATACTTATATAATATTATAAGTTATATATAACTTATATTATGTAAATATACTTTATAAAATGATATAAATACACTTCTTTCCTGGTTTCTCCGAGGTAAGCTGTAAGAACTCTGGTGCTAGCTGCAGTTTGCACTGCCCTCCATGCAGGATTCAGCACGAGCCCATTTCCATGGAGCAGCCTGGCTCCTTCCCTCCCCTCACCTGTGCTGGGGGTTGGTGTACTTGAGCAGCTCGGCCAGCTGCAGGGGGTATTTGCAGATTTTCTGCACGGGGGTGAGCAGGAAGCCATCCAGGGAGATGTCAATCATCTTCTGCAGCAGGCGGCAGGCCTCGAAGAAGTAAACGTACTTGTTGACCTTGGTGAGGCGCGACAGCTCCAGGCAGGCGTTGGGGTGGTTGTTGCAGTACTCGGAGTAGATCTGAAACTCTGTTTGCTGCAAGGCACAGGGAGGGATTTACTGCCCGTGTCCCCCAGGCCATGCCCTGGCTCAGACTCCTGTGCCTGTTTGGTGATTTGTCTCCTCTAACTGGAGCTGTTTGGTGATTTCTGTCCTCCCCAGGCTCTCTGGGGTCTGGTAGGATGCATCACGGCTTCAGCACCTGCAGCTCATCTGAGAGACCCAGACATTCCCACATATCCTGCTCTGGCTCAGCTGAATGCTTTTAGTGCCCACACCAGCCACAGCTGATCCTTCACTGACCTGAAAATACCATTACTGTAAACTCAGTCCCACTCGAGATTTTGGAGTCTTCCTACATTTTTCCTAAAGTACCAAGGTCTGGCAGGGATTGTAGTGTTCAGAAGATAAGGTGCTTTGAAAATGCTCTTTCCACAGCCACAAGAGCTACAGGGTATATCTTTGGGAAGTGGTTAAACAGGGCTGGGACAGAGGGTGGTGGCATTTATTTTGGTTGGATGGGTCTTTTTAAAGAAAGCTTCAGTTCTGTCAGAATTTCTAAATCCTCTGGCTTAATCCATGCTCAGCTACCCCTTTCCCATGAAGTCAAATTTACTTACATATTCCAAGAAGCATGAGCCAACCTCACTCAAGTGGGGGTGGTCTTTGTTAAATTTCTTCTCTAGTGCTTTAACAAATTTCTTCTGGCACCTGTAGATGTCCTCAATATTCCCAAAGATTGTCTTCAGCTGCTCTTCTGTAAACATGTCTGCTCTCTTGCGGCACTGCTTAATGTAACCCTAGGAGAAAACCAAATTGGAAAGCTTCCTGGGCATCTGCTCTGTGGCAACAGAAAGCCTCAAGGACTGCACTCAGGTGTTCCTGTACTCCCTTTCTGCAGTTCTGTACCCATCTGTAACTATTATTTCCTCTCATGTTACCCTAAACATGGTAGAATAGAAGCTGCCACAGACTCATGGCAGCCCTGGGCAATGCTGCAGCCCACACCTGAAGGAGTCACAGATCTGCTTTTTCTCTTGCTGAATGAAAAAGCCTTTCTGTGTCTGCAGGCAATGGGGTGCTCTGACCCAGCACTGGTAGATTCAGACCAGTTTAGTCCAGTTGTGGACGTGGTTTGGGGCCTGTGTGAGGAGCTGCCCGACTGACTCCAGGCAGAGGAGAGCTCCGAGGGGCAGGGGGACACTGCAGGAGCAGAGGCTTGTTTGTAAGTGTGTGCCCTTTGCCCCAGCTGCCTCTGCTGGGAGCCACTTCTGTACCATGGCAGGGGAGAATTCTGTTCCTGCAAAAATTCCAACTGCCTCCACTCCCACAGTGTACACGATGGATCTCTTTTAGAAGAGGTGTCACAACATTCAGCATATTTGACACTAAAGGATCCAATTGGCTGAGCATCCCCCAGTTGTTTTGATCTGAGCATGACTTGCCTGAAGGCTGGAGCTGCTGATTATATTACCCCAGAACATATATTAGAGTGGACAGCAGTGCTGGACGTTTACTTTTCTGGCTTGGGAAATTCAATTAATTCCATTTAAACAGAGCACAAGTGAGTGCTCCAAATGCAGAGGCATTTGGGATTTTGCTGTAATGAATTGCCTTCTGTTTTCTGAGCATATAATGGCATTCAGCAGAACTTTTGAAAATCTAGTCTCATTTTCAGAAAAGTTATCTGCTTAGGGTCTCCTTCTGGGCAAGCATGGGACACCTCAGAGAAGTTCCTACAGTCCCTTCCCCCTTTATTCCTTACCTCACAAATGTCCTTCAGGTGCTTGATGTAGTCTCTCTCTGTGCTTATGATCTCATTGATGACATTGGTCCTCATTTGGTCTTTGGTGGTCTGGCCCATCCCAAAGCGTCGGGAGTCGTCCTCTTTGCCCCCCTCCACCTTCAGGGGATAATCTTCCATGGGCTCATCCTGGTTCACTCGCAGCTGTGAGGCACACAAGATGTTCACTGTCCCTGCTGCCAAACAGCTCTGCCAAGGCAGGGAGTGGATGGCAGACACAGGGACAGGTGAGAGGAGGGTGTGTGTATTGCCTGCAAACATTTTCCCCTCGGGGGGGCTGAGGCCAGACAGTCACTTTGGGGAGGGCACTGGCAGCTGCTCCCACCGTGGCATGGGTGGTTTGAGGCAGGCATTTCTTGTGGACAGAAGTTACAGGAATAATATGGAGTCCTTCAGGAATAATACATATAAAATCAGGACCAAAATGGTTTATCGAGTGAAATTTTCTTAAATATTTGAAGGAACACTTCAGGAGGGAGGGGAGAACCAGCAACTGGCTGGGGTGGTATCTAATTTATTGTTCTCATACTGTGTGTGACAGATGGCCGCTCGGTATCTGCTTCCCCAGGATTATTTAGAGACTGCGTGGCTAAGGTAAAAGCAGCCCAGCTGGTGGTGGGAAGGAAGGCAGGAAGGCAGGAAGGAAGGAAGGCGCTGCCCGGCTCTCGCTCCCCATCGGGTGGCAGCACAGCACGGGCCCAGCAGCGGCTACAGCTCCGCGCTCCCAGCCCGGGACTTTGGGTGCCGTGGGAATGCTCTGTACATGACCCAAAGGATCCAGCACAGAAAGGAATGAAAGATAGGAAGGTAAAACACACATGATTATAGCAATTTTTAGTACAATGACACATAACTGCTTTAAACTTTTAATGGAGTTTCTTCTAGGCTCTATGACTTACCACTTGATACAAATACACCTACACATAAAAAGGAGTGCGTACCCCTCGCTTGTCAACACAGGCACAGGTTATATTTACTCACTGCTGAAGCCCTCAAGATGTGCAATCCTGGTTCTCCTCCAGTGTGAGCAGGACATCGGCAGCTCTTAGTCTCAAACCTCATCCTGAAACTCATGTGGAGTGACAGAGTCCTGCACTCTGAGCCCAGCCTCCAGACAAACCAGCTCTCCCTGCAGCGAGCTTTAGAGCCAGTGGTAATTAGCAGGAAATTTTCAGCTGGATGCTTGAATAAGTGTTGTGATTCCTCTGTTAAAAGAATTTCTTACTCTGCATCCCTAAAGCCTAGTACTAGTCTGCTTTACTCTAAGATGACAAGTTTTTGCCAGCCAGGACAATTCAACTTATAAGTAACGTGAAAGAAAAAAATTCTGTGTTTTCATTGCAAGAAAAATAAGTGCTGAGTTCTTGGTAATCTTTTTTGCAAAACATTCCACTGTTTGTATTAATTATGCAGCTGAGACTATCTCCTACTACCTATAACAAAGCATTTCAAAACTGCCCCACTTCTCCAAGGACTTTTGCTACAGACACCGGCTGACCTGGTGTCACCTCCTTTCATGCTTCACCTGGTTTTGGGTCACTTGTGATCTGAAGTGACCTGGATAAAGAGCTAAAGGGCTGAGAATCTCTGCCCTTAGGCACCCCACTGCCTTTGCAGCACTGAGGAGCCTGCCCGAGGTGGTGAAAGCTGTCAGACACCCACACCAACATCACAGTCAGGAGAAAGGAAAAAAGCCTTTCTCCTCACAGCGGGACAGTGGAGCACAGCAGTTTCCACCCTCCCACACTCCTGGTTCCCCCCAGCTTGCCCTGAGAGTTCAGATGTGTTTCAGAAAGCTCTGTTGGAAATGAAGCCTCTGCAGGGTGCAGTTGGGACTGTCTGGGCTGGTCTGCACAGCTCTTCTGTGTGGGCTTTGAAGCTGGCACCGGGGACAGCCTTGGCCCACAAGCACCGAGTGTCTCAGGTTGCCCCAGATGACTGCTGAGACATTTCTTGTGTTTTTCTGCTCCGTTTTTAGTGCCTGGCACGCAGTGCTGTGTGACGGCCCAGCAGCCCAGGGGCTGGGGCGGTGCCTGAGTCCATCCTCTGGCCGTGGCACTGCACTGCCCCAGCACCAGCTGCAGAGGTGCCTTTGGTGCCATGCTCATCTCTGTTGTCCCAGTGGGCACTGGAGTGAGGACTTCTGCCAGCTGCATCAGGGATTCCTCCAGGAGAGCACTGCTTGCTCCTGGAAGTGGATGCCATGTGCTTGGGCACAAATCAGCCAGTGTAGTGATGGGTAAGCAGGAGCCAGGCTGCAAACCACCAACCAGGGCAGCTCCCCAGCTGGCACAGCTCTGCTCTGCCCTGCTCCAGTCTGGAGCTGAACCTTTTGCCCTTTTACTCATGTAGAGGGAGTTCTCCACACTGATGGCTGCTCAGCCAGGAGGGCACCCTGTACTGTAGCCACTTGTAGAGGAATACTAACAAGACATGCTGAGCCATCTCTAGCAGTGAAAGTCCTTGGAGTCACCACAGAACATTAAACCTGGAGGAAAAGAACAAACACACCTGGTACTAATGGAGAGGGCACAAAGAAAGAGGAAGATCTTACCCGAACAAAGCTGGCTGGAAACCAGCCTTCACTGTCCAGAATCCTCCCCCACCACCACTCCTTGTTGGTGGCATCCATCACTTCGATGACATCGCCGGCCTTGAAGCCCAGCTCCTGGTCGTCCATGGTGACGTGGTCCCAGAGGGCCTCTGCGTACACCACGCTGCCATCGCTGATGAGCTGTGGGCAGAGCAGGCACACTGTCATCCCTCCACGCCAGCAGCACCTGTGCCAGCCCTCTGCAGCCCTGGGGCTCGTGCTGCTGACCCCTGAGCAATGAGGAGTTGCTGCAAGGCTGCCAGTTGCTTTGCCCTGCTCTCAACAGCATTTATTCAGAATCACTTGCACACACTACGTTTACTACCATAAAAATATAAATTCTGGTATTTCACACTGCTGGCTTTGCCTCAGCCAGTAAACAAGGCTCAGTGGTACCTTGTTTGTGGAGGATGCTCTGCTGCTGCCAGTGCAGCTCTGCTTTGGAAAGCCTTGAAATAAAACCTTGAGCATCAATATATAGAGACATACTTCAGAGCAAAAAGTTCTTAAATGGTCTCTGCCCAGGGAGGTGGTGGAGTCAGGAGCGCTGGATGTGTTTAAAAAAAGATTGGATGTGGCACTCAGTGCCATGGTTAATTGAGGTGCTGGGGCTGGGTTGGACTCAATGATCTTGAAGGTCTCTTCCAACCCAGTGATTGTGTGAATTCTGTGAAAAAGCATTCAGAGGCCTCAGAGCTACTCTGAAGTGGGTAGAGCCTGAAGCCTGTAAGATAGTTAAACACAGCTCTTAAGATGCTTAAAATAAGATTCCTGGAGAGTTTTAAGCATTTATACTGAGGAAGAGCAGTTATTTACTGCATGCCTCTTAGAGCTCTCACTCTAGGAAAAACAGGACCCCCAACAATTTAGAAAACCCAAACCAAAACTGAAGCCCATGTGGCTGGAAGCTGCAAGGGGGCTCCTGAGCAAAGTGATGCTGTGCCTGGAGCCATTGCTGACCCTTCCCAGCTCAGCTGTGGGGTGGCCAGGTAACACTTGGGTGCTGCTGCAGTGGTGTCTCTGTGGGCTGGTCCTGCTGGCCACCACACCACAGCAGGAGTGCCCGATGCCACTGGTTTATCAGTCAGAGTCTCCCTTGGATTTCAACAGCTCCAGAGTTCCCTGGGCCTGAGTGTACCTGGGACTGTCTGAACAACAAAGGTCTTCCCAAGAAGATGGAGTGCACACTGAATTCTGCTAAAAAGGACTTGGCCATTGTGGAGTGGCAGGAAAATGGTGCAATGATGAATTATGGGAAGACAGCAGGAAGACAATATGCCAGGCATGTGGGAGAAAGAGAAAAGCTGTGGGAAAGCCACTGTAGGTCCCTGATAGGGGTCCCAGCAGTGCAGCAGTGTCACCACAGCACACAGGGCACGGGCCACACACGCCCCTTGGGCATGGGTCACCCAGAGTCATCCCCTGCTCTGGGTTACTGCTGCTGCCTCTCCACAAAGGAGAGATCCACGCTGGGGAAGAGCGTCAGCATAATCAACTGGGTAAATCAGAAGAGGGTTAACGAGGCATTTGAAAGAAAATTGAAATGCAGTCTGCCTTTGGATAGCAAATGCCCCTTCACTGAACCAGAAACAGCTTAATGCAGTGTTTCCATTCTGACAGAAATAATGGGATGGTGGGGAAGGAGAGGGTGAGAGTTCCCACTTATCTACACAGCCAGTGTGTAGCCAGAGCTAGGTGGGATGCAGTGCAGTGATGCTATGTGTATCTCTGTGAAAGTAGGGGATGGATCCATGTGGCAGCAAAAACAAAAGGGTTATTGATGTATTAAAAACAACAGAAGTGCCTCAGAATGGTCATGTAGAAATTAGAGCCTCTCCTCCCACAAAAGGTGGTGGGATCAGCCCAACTGAAGTGCATCCAGACTAATGCACACAGGATGGGAAACAAACAGGAGGAGCCCAAGGCTATGGCGTGGAAGGAAAGCTGGGATAGAGCTGCCACCACAGCAACGTGGTGGGATGGTTCTCACAACTGGAGTGCTGCAGCAGGTGGCCATAAATCCTTCCGAAGGAACAGGCATGGAAGGAGAGGCAGTGGGGGATATCATCCCTGTATGTGAGGGATGTTTGGATGATGGTGATGACAGGGTTGAGTGTTCCCCCTCTCCTGGGGGCAGCAGAGGAGCAGGCTCTGCTCTCTGGTGCCCAGTGACAGGAGCCACAGGAACAGCCTGGAGCCGTGGCAGGGCAGGTTTAGGTTGGATATCAGGAAAAGGTTATTCCACCAGAGGGTGGTGGGGCACTGAACAGCTCCCCAGGATCACAGCCCCAAGGCTGCCAGAGCTCAAGGAATGTTTGGACAACACTGTCAGACACAGGGTGGAATTCCTGGGATGTCTGTGCAGGGCCAGGAGTTGGACTTTGATGATCCTTGTGTGTCCCTTCCAACTCAGGATTCTCTAAATATATTTATCCATGATTTGGATGAGGGGATTGAGTGCACCCTCAGTGATTTAGAGGTTTTAGCTTTTTAGCATAAAGCAGTGACAGCTAGAGTAGGGAAGAGAGTGGATGTAAAAGCGTGTTTTTCCAGACTTGGCTATCAGATTTCAGCTCCAGAACAGCAGCTGGGCGGGGGGTGAGGGCAGGTGTAGCCACTCTCACAGAGCTCTGCTGCTGCTTTGGGGGATCCATTTGCTTTGGGATGCAGGGACTGGTGCCTGTGCAGGGCACAGGCTGAGGCAGCTCCCCCAGCTGCAGGGAGGGAGGGCAGAGGGTGAGAGGGTGGCTGGAGCCCAGCACCTGGCCAGCCCTACGGAGGGGAGCTGATCTCACCCAGAGCTGGGACACACCAGTGACAGCAGCTGTGCCACGCCCTGCTGAGCTGCCCATGGATGTTGCTCAGGATAGGGGCAGAAGCTGCAAAGCCTTCAGAAGAGTAGCATCCAGCAGGCTTTTCAACAACCAAACTGTGACCAGCACATAGAGAACATGGCTCTTTCTCAGACAAAATACCTTCTCTGTGTGTTTAAATGTGCCAGCCTGGCTCCAGGGGTGATGTGCAGGCTGGCACACACCGTGGCCATTTCCAGAGAGAGGCTAAGTGGACTTAGTGGACTTCCTCTGGCACTGAGGTGGTCACACAAACACAGCACTGATGATGGGAAGGCATTAATACCACACAGCACCACGCTGTCACACCTTGGTAACATGATGAGAAGACAGGAGACCAAGCCTGACCCAGCATTCACAGCACACAGGGCTGACACACTCAGCTCACAGAGCCACTCAGAGTCACTGAAAGCCACGGGGCTGAGAAGAGACCCCTCAGCTGGTATTTTAATCCAGCCACTAACAGTAATACCTTCCATTTTCTCTATTCAACAACAGCCATGCTGTAGGTATGATCTGGAAAACACAGGAAGTCACAACTGTGGGATCACCAGCCTGGCCAAATAGGCAGGCAAGACACTGCCAGTTCTCATGCAAAAGAATAAATAAAATAGACCTGAACAACTGGCTAGGATTTGTTTAACTGGCAAGAAACACGTTTCTGGGGAGGAATGATCTATATGGAATAAATAATGAAATAAAGAGCAAAAAATTATTTCATCTGTTCTTGGGATCATCTCAGTTCATGTAATACAGCAGCACTCAATGCACTTTGATGTGTTCAGGCTGACAGGCTCTGCCTGGCCCCCTCCCTGCCCCACCTCCTCCTGTGCTGGCACCCCAGGGTGGGCAGGGCAGATCTGGGTGCTGAGCACTGCTCAGTGATCAGGGCTCTGCCCCCAGCTCAGGCTGTGCCTTATACTTTTATTTTCCACTGTATCCAGTCCAGCTCCTAGGCTGACACAGAAATACCCAGTCCAAGAGCCCCTTCCCAGAGCAGGTACAGGTGGGCAGCTCAGAGCCAGGACTGGCATTTCCATGGCACAGGAGCACCCACGGTGCCACATGTCACTGCAGCAAGGAGAGCTCCCCATCCTCCCCCAGGGCAACCTGCCATGGGCAAAGGGGGGCAGGACCCTGGTGCAGTAAGGTAGAAAAATCACAGAGAAAGGCTTCATAAAATCAGGCCTGCTCTCCTGGAATCAGTGGCTGGCCTTGTCAAAGCCAGCATTTTGCAAGTTCCCACGTGAAAGCAATCCTGGTGTGAGCAGTTCATTAACATAACAATCTATTCCTGGGTAAAATAAACCAGCTTGCACCTGTACAAACTGGTTTTGCACCATTAGCTAGAAAAATGGAAACTCTCACAAACAACTTTCATGAGAGTTTGAGTGACCAATCAATACAAAATAACAACTTGTTAATTACCAATAACATAACTGGCAAGAAAACCACTGACCAATTGGAGCCCCAAACGAGGTCTGTAACACTATAAAAAGAGTTATGTGAATAAAGAATGGCCTTTTTAACCATGAAGAAACTGGAGTCTGTGTGATTTATTCCCATAGGACTCTCCTACTCCAGGAAGGATAAAACACACCAGCAGGTAAAAGGGTTTTGGCAAAATATGTTTGAGGTGGCACCACCAAGCAGCTCTGCTGAGGGAGCTCCTGGCTGCCAGAGGAGCGTGCAGGGAAGGGGATGCTCACCCTGCCAAGCACCTCCTTGGCTCAAAAGGCTCAGCTCATCACACTTTGATCTCTGCAATTAAAGCAAGGTTTGGAAAACAACTACTAATTTCATATGAAACAACATTTATGTGCTGGCTTTGTAATGTCAAGGACAACTCGGTACATGTTCTTGAAGAGGCCCAAACAAGTGTATAGCAGAGAAAAGTTAAAGAGAGAGAATGCAAACCAGCCAGCCCACAGCTGCTCTGGCTCCTGCAGCTGGCAGCGGGGAAAACAACCAGAAATCAACTTTTCTTTGTTTATAAAAACATCTAACTTTGTAGACAGCATCATTTCCAACCCAAAGGCAGCACAAGCCCAGATGCTTGAATCTGTAAATGGAGGGCAGCTCTGTTACTGCCCTGGCCTTTCTGTGTCCCCATTGCAGCCCAGGCTCCTGTTCCAGCCCTCCCTGCTACAAGGGGAGGGCACTGGAGCTGATGCCTTGGAGGGGCTGTAGAACAGAGGCTGGACAAGATTCAGAGAATAAAGTGGGTATTTATTGAAGGCCTTCAATAGTTACACCTTGGGCAGCCAAAACCTCCCAGAGGCTGCACCC